TGCCCCTGTATAGAGATGAGAACAGTATGCCATATGCGGCCGGGCCTTATAGAGCTGAAGGCGGTGGGCCGGAGTGAAAAACTGCCTCGATCTGTTCACACCAAGCTTTTTCGAGGCCAATTTGACCTTACCCTCTAAGTGACCCCGAAACGCTTACAAATATGCATATTACCAACACATATAAATCCATAGAAATAATAAATACATACAAAGGTAATAAAGGTTAATACACAAACCGTTTTTAACCTGTGATTACCAAGTATTAACAAAAAGCAATATCCGTTCAACAGCCCTAATAATGTCAAGAAGTAAATTGTGACTTGTTTTTAGGGTTCCGTACCTCAATAGGTAAAAAAGGAACCCTTATAAGATCACTTTCTTGTCCGTCTGTCCGTGTGTCACCACCGATTTTCTCATGAACCGGTAGACCTAGCAAATTGAAATTTATACCAGATACTGAGGTCTATTAGGTGTATAAAAATCAAGGTTGTGAGTCAACACGATAAAAAGAAATTGGAAAATTTCGATTTTCGCGAAAACTTGTAAGCACCAAAATTTATCTTATTTCTTAAATTTATCTTTTTAACTTTTTTATTTTTTAGAATTTCTCTTTACTTGTGCTATAAGACCTTGCTTTTAACCAAAATTGACAATTCTAGGTCAACCGGAAGTACCCTATAGGTTTTGGGTCGAAAACGTATTTGGTAGTTCCCGTTGACCTAGAATCACGAAATTTAGCAAAAAGAAAGGTCTTACAGCACAAATAAAGGAATAATTCCAAAAAATGAAAAAAGTTGAAAATTAAGATAAATTTTGGTACTTACAAACTTTCTCAAAAATCTACGTAAAATCTGGGTAGGTCGGAACCCTCGACGCGCGAGTTCGACTCGTACCTGACCGGTTTTTTGAATAATTGCAACAATTTTGCTTTTCGGATTGCCTCGGGTAAGTTGTTACACAGTCGTACTGCCTGCACCGAGAACGATTTGTTCGCTCAATTTTGTTCAATTTGTATTCGGAGAGATCTAGATAGCTAACGTCACCATCGTCAAATATAGGAAGGAGAAGAGATTGTGCTTGAGAAGTTTTATTTATGTATATGTCATGATTTCTTTAACTTTACATTATTTTTTATTGTGTACACTACAAAAATTCTCCGTGTGGTGACGGATTAAGAATACGCAGTGTCACCACCCCTATTTATCCCGTGGGTGTCGTAGGAGGCGACTAAGGGAGCGAACAACAGCACTGCTGACAGAAGGAAAACTTGACACAAATCCTATGCCAACCCGTCTGGCCAGCGTGGTATAGTAGGCCAAAACCTCCTTATTAAGGAGAGGCCTAGGTCCAGCAGTGGACCGTTAAAGGCTGTAGATGTGATGTGATGTGACTACAAAAATACGAATATTTTTATTCCGTCTGTCACAAATACGAATTTGTGTTGACTGTCACAAATACCGATTTTCATAATTTCGAATGGGTCCAAATTTCGAATATAACAACTCCGATTTATCATTCTTACTATTTTTTGATTAAAAATTTTCAATATTCCTAACGTTTATAATTACTATGCTCAGAATACCGGGTTTCAATAGATCGAATAGCAAAAATTCCGACAGTGATAATTCGAAAGATCTAAAATTCACCAGTCAGCAACAATAGAGGGGATCTCGCTCGCCTGGTCACAGTTCTAACTTAAACCAAAGGATTCACTAAAAACAGAGTGTATCTGGTTAATCGCGTTAATCGCCACTCTTCTAACCTAACCCAAAGAATTACATTAAACGTTACTTATAGATTTTGGATATATATATATATGTGTAACTGAATATTATACTAACTGAATTAGACTAGTAATTTTAGCAATTTATTTGAAGTATTGAAAATCGGCATATCGTTTTTCGGACCGAGAACCCATCGACAATTTGATGAAAATCGGCAAACAAAAAATCGCATATTTACGAATTTCGGTAAAATAAATTTCGTGAATTTTAATTTTAGACATTATTATTCCTCGGTATTATGAAATTCGGACTTTTGTTAACCGGAACATCGAAATTCAGAATAAAATATTTCGGAGTATTTGGGTGTTCTCTTTTTCATTGTCAGTTAATATATTTATATTTCCGCCTTCAGCTCTATAAGGTGCAAGTCCAGCCGCATATGAAATATCTATGCAGGGGCACTTTAATACCAGTTTCTCCCTCTGGACCGCATCCAACGAAGAGCGACTCGAATCATCGATAGCCCAAACATCTCCGATCGGCTCGATCCCTTGGCGTTACGTAGAGATGTGGCTTCACTCTGCATTCTCTATCGCATATATCATGGAGAGTGCTCCGAGGAATTGTTCGGACTAATACCAGCCTCAAATTTCCGCCATCGTTCCACACTGCAAAATTTTCATCCTCATTACCTGGATAGTTGGCACTCCACTACTATGCGCTTTTCGAGACATTTTTTGCCCCGCACAACCAATCTGTGGAACGGGTTATCGTCTGCGGTATTTTGACCTTCAAACCTTCAAGAAAAGAGCGTACTCCTTCTTAAAAGGCCGGCAACGCGTTGGTGACTCCTGAGTTACAGACGTTCATGGGCGGCGATAGTCACTTTCCATCAGGTGACCCGTCTGCTCGTCTGCCCCCTCTAACATAAAAAAAAGTATACCGTTTTTGAGAGATTAATTCGAATGTAATAAAAGATTTTGTAGAATCAAAATGTGTAATTAATTAAGTTTAATCAAGATTATGTATCAAGGTGCACCGATTTAAATCGATAATAAATAAAATATTATTTTTTGACATTTTTATTTATATCAATCAATAAAAATATTTATGCCATATAATCATTTAATTACCAACCATATAATTTGACTTTTATTATTATTTGCACAAAAGGTTAGGTCTCAGTAATATAAAGTATGTTGGCCCGCCAGGCATGATCACCTCGCCTGGTCGACGGCACCTTTGTGTTAGAAGGACATGACACCCATTCCTCCACAGTGGTAACCCCGACATGATTGGAAGCAGCCTGCAAAGAAACAAACCTGCAGCAACACCATCGCCATCATCGTGTAGAGTCCCACAACGATGAGCGGTAATAAAGTTTCAGACAACCAGCCACCTCGGCCATAAGCACCTGCAGGTAGCAACTGATCCAGCCAGGTTACATCTACGGCCTCATCAGCGTCTAGGCACAGAACAATGCACCTACGGGCCTCGTAAGAAGAGCATCTCTCTCCTGTCTACGCAGCAGCCTGCAACTACGTAGTAACCGCCCCGACTCACTGGGGACTTTACCGCAGCACCGCTTGCAATCCCGAATCACTGGGATCAGTAGACCTCAGTCCCGACTCACTGGGACTAGCGGCACTCAGTTCTTACTCACTGGAACTACTCACTACTGACACTGGCATGCTCCATAACAAAGCATAGACCGCTGACTCATCATATATCGACGTCCGGTTCTGGAGGGAAGTGATGTGGTGACATCCACATACTGTGGGAAATAAAAACTACATTGCCACCTAATGAAGACACACTGAACTACGGAGAACTGCTAATCCTCCATCGCGATATAAATAACTCTGAAGCCGATTAGTATATATACAACTTCCCAACATCTATCATTGTGCCACGGCCTGCCAGACATGATCACCTCGCCTAGTCGGAGGACTCCCTTAGTGGTGGAGGGACATGACAAGACAACCATTCCTCCACAGATCTAATCTTGGCCATTTTAATTTTTAACTATTTTCAGTAAATTAGGTCTGCTAATTATTGAAACTATTATAGAACTTAAAATCTTGTGTAAATGTATTTATTTCAGTTATTTATTTTATTTCATATTTTACATCAATACACCTATCTCTTCAAGGTTTGCCAATCAGTTTTAATATTATGTATTGTTATTAGCATATTCATCCACTCTATGTATCTACCGTGGAAAACTTTTATTGGCTACTCATGTAATCATAGTCTAATAATCATACCTAGTTAAGAATTGCAGCTGTTGTTATCCCTAAAAATAAAAAAATAAAAAAAAAATAAAAGTAACCACCGTGTGCATCAATGAAGCGCTGCTCAATCTTGCTCTCAACACATAGTTTAAGGGTAGATTGAAAAATGATAACCGAATCGAAGACGAATCGTCATAACGTTATAAAAAGCACAATAATTAATGTTTACATTATAGTGCAAACTAAATTGTGTACATGTTTATTGAAATTACTACACATTTGTCAAAATGCTGTCCGAAAACTGCTACAGTCTTATAAATGTATACATGTAAATGATAAAAATTAGTCGTAATTGTTTACATTTTCGGGACATTACATTGGTGACTTATTAAATATAATTTGTAGTAACGACATAATTTTGTATGTGTGTGCAAATGTCTAAATACTATTGGTGTAAATATTTTTGACAAAATTATGCTCATTATTATGAAGTACTCTGATGGTTATATAATATGTACATACGTACGGTTATAGTGAATATTTCTTTTTTATACATTTCATTGCTCGTGACTATACATGGAAACTTGTGACTTTAAAAAAATTCAATGCTTTCAATATTAACCAAACCTATCTAATAAAAAAATCGTTAAAATTACAAAATAACTAAAACCTTAACATTAAAATATAAGTCTACGGCGATTAATATTAAGTTTCACTATTGGCAAGCTGTTGTTTTTATTTGCGAATACAGTTGCTGAAATTTTTTTTTAAAGACAACGCCCGCATTAGGAATATATATTCCTGTGTCGCGGGGCACTTTACAAACCTACATGAAACGGACACAAAGAACACCCAGACTCAGAACAAAAATTTGTGGATCATACACATTTGTGGTTTGAACCCACAATACTAGGCGTAGTAGGAAGCGGCGTGGCGACCACTTAAACCACTACGCCATCCGTGCAGTCAAATTCCTAGTGGAAGGCCTGGATACTATCTGATACACACTTATAGTAGTATAAAAAGACATGGAAAAACAAGCTTAATCAAAAACTTTGTTATCAGCATTCCATTTTGATAAATAATGGACATTTGTGAAAGCACAGTGCCTTGGATGGTAAATACATTTTTTAATATTGCAATCTTTATATATTTCATATAATTTTGAAAAAGAAGGACAACCAAAATCTTCTAAATTATAAAATTTGTTGTAGATACCCCTGATGCAATAACTATCGTCGTCGTACTCGTCCTCCAACAGGTCTCTTAACCAAGTACTCTTATCAAAGCCTTTTACATAAATGTTCTTATTTCTCAAAAATTCTATGCAATTTCTAAAGTTTCGATAATGAACAAATCCTCCTTCCCAAAATATTTGTCTATACTTTTCTACCCAATCGACGGTATTTTTTTGTACTGCCGATAATTCGTGGTAAGGGTACGGCGGCTTGATCAAAATGACAAGAACCTCTTTGGTGCATTGTATTGCTATCTCTTTCGGAATGAAATCGTTTGCATCTGATTGGAATCCTTGTATATCAACAATTGTATTCATTACGCCACTTTTAAGCTGATCGTGCGAGTTTGCCTAATTTTTGCGCAAAATCTGAAAGTAAAGGACATTACAGTTTTGATTTTAAAGCATAACATAGAATTAGCTTTGTGCGTCTGGACTTTCACTGGTAATGCATTGAAAAAAATAACTATTTCTATTTTTTTTAATATGACAGTATTCAACAAATTGATTTATTTATAATTAAGCAATTCAGTTATTGATGAAGTGTAAGGTATATTCAGCAGTGCTTTCTAAGTACAAATAACGTATTTCTGGAAGCCTCCCAACAACTACTTTTGGTATTAAGATAGAAATAGGTAATACGGCGTAAAAACCCAATACGTAAGACTCAATTTAATTGAGACTTTGAATGCCTTGTCGTATTTACTAAGTATTGTGCAATAAATGGCTACCGTTGCAGTTACATTGTATATCGAAGCATTGCCATCTCTCTTTCACTTTAGTAAATTTTTGAGTGGTATTAATATGTAACGTAAGAGCCGACTAAGGGAGCAAACTACGCTGGACAATAGCACTGAAAAGAGACGGAAAACTTGAAACAAAACCATATACTAACCCGTCTGGCTAGCGTGGTATAGTAGGCCAAAATCTCCTTTCTAAGGAGAGGCCTATGTCCAGCAGTGGACTGGTAACGGCTGTTGATGATGATGATGACGATGATTATAATATGTTCAGCAATTATGAATGCTTAAGCTACTTTAATGACGCCAATTTATCTATACATTGAAACTAAACTTATGTTGCTCAAATCCGAGCAATGCTTTTAATGATTTTTGAAATAGGATAATATAAGATTTAATTTTTGGATTTATAACTTTCTTTTGGATACTGGTCGTTTCAATCGTTTAATCTGTGTCTATGTGAGACTATACAGTAAAATATTAAAACATTTAGTGACCAATAAAGAAATAAAAAAAGAAACGTTTAATTCTGTTCCTTTTTATTTGGTATAAAGTTAGAAGGTTACGTCATGCTTAACGTTATCGAGAGGGCACCGTGGTACAGAGCATCTTTGCGCTACCGTGAACTCGAAACCGAATACTTCACATTTATTGAAGTTGAAATATACCTGTGCCGGGTGAACTTTAATACCATCTGTATTGCGTCTCCTTAAACTCACGGACTAACGTAAGTTTCGTGATGAAATAAATCTTTTTGAAACATAAAACAAGATATATATTTGGTTACATTAAATTGATGAAATTTAAGCATTTGGTATGCTTGTATAATATGTAAATACAAGGAAAGTCAAATCGTAATTTAAATTTAGACTCATTTCTATACTGGATTAAAAAATATTAGAATAAACAATTTATTTATTTTAATATTTAGGTGTATGTGTATATTAAATATTTTATCTGCAGTACACCAAATTTAACTGAGAATTATTAATAATAATATGATATAATAATAATATTCTAAGCGGGGCTTTTGCTATGGGTACTAGATAAGAGATATAAATACATAAATACGTTTTTTTTTAAACTTACCTTCACTTAACTTTTACCTCAAGATCGCAGCTACTATATTTACTATATATTAACACCACTTCTATAGTGTTGTATTTCAACTAACACTGGACAGGGACTTGCGAACGCACGGGTGACTCTACGAGTATTGCTACTGTTGTGCTTAAAAACACTGATAAACCTCTAACCATATCAATTAAAAAGATACATTACCTAGCACGTATAGCACGGATTATGCTTATAAATTTAAATTTAAGGAACAAAAGTAAAAAATATATCTTTTTTTTTTCAAATAAATAAATTTAACCATTTCAACCCTTTTGTAAACACTCTATATAAACATCGAATCACATAATCTGTGGTTTAAAAGTGATATAAAATATTTAAACTCACTCTGTATATTAATTCTTTATGTTATTGACCACGTTTCTAGACGAGGAATTTCAGTGAGGACAATTTGACAAAATTGCTAGTTGTCTGAAGAGTCACTTCACTTTGACGGTGAGTAGAAAGTTTTACGAGTCACCAGTTCTGATAATTTCGCGTTCTAAAGTGATGACAGAATGATAGTCGGGCAGGACTCCGTTCTGTACCGTCGGCGCGAAGGACTACTGCGCAATTGGGCGGAGCGCCTTTACTCTGTTCCTTTTTCTTTCGTGTTTGTTAAAAAATAAAACTAATGTGTCCACACTTCGATTTACGAGTATATTAAATGTTCGAATAATGAGAAGGTATAAGTTTAAAATGGGCCTATTGGTTACCTATCGTGACTGCTAAGGCGGAGGTTATGTGTTCGATACCAAACCTGGACAAATATTGTGTGATGAGCACGATCATTCATACATGATATGATCGTGTGTATAACTTATCTATAATATGTGTGTATTTAGAAATCTGTAAAAATTAAATATGTGCCATTATTATTATTTTTATTACGTTATTGGAACTAAACTTATAGTTTTCAAAATTTGAAGTTTATTACGTCTAAGTTTTTAATACGTGTCTACCCCTACATGAAGACGTGTGTGTATGTATTTGATAAGTTTATTTATTTATTATAGACCAAACCGGGGCACCCGCCGCTGGCGGCAGTTTCAGGGGCGCCAAAATCCTAATGTAATACGGTTTAAAATAAAAATAAACAATATAATAATAATATTCTACCACATACACACAACGCCATCTAGTCCCAAACTAAGCAGAGCTTGTACTATAGCTACCAGACAACTGATATAAATACATAAATACTTTTTTTGTAAATACATAGTATCTATTTCATATTTTCGAACATCTGACACACAAGCAGAGCTTAGCTTACTAGCTTACTATGAAAGCTAGATTGACTGATACAATACTCATATACTTTTTTTTTGTAAATACATACATATTATACATAGAAAGCATCCAAACTCCGAAACAAATATTTGCAGATCATACAAACATTTGGTCTGACCCGGGAATCGAACCCGAGACCTCAGTTTAGCAGTCGCATACGCTACCACTGCACCACCGAGGCAGTTATTATACATAGAAACACCCAGACCAAATCAAATATTAAATTCTCATGCCCACAAATGTTTGGCATGAGAGGGAATAAAATAAAAAAGTGCCGAAGTATGGCACTTCTACGGTTCTGGCCTGTTAGTCTAGTGGTCGTGGGTTCGATTCTTATTCAGGATAAATATTGTGTGATGACCACGATCATTTGTTCAGTGTTTCATTTAAATGGTGGTTTATTTGAAATATGTATGTATTTAGAAAGATATGACTAGGTTTATGAGCAGCCTGGTTACCGAGGTCCTTAATTAAATTTAATAAACAACCATCACTACACTACTAATTAATTTACAGAATAGAGTAAATGTTTTTAAAATTATCACTCTCAGACATGTCACCAGATATATGACACAACGTCCGAAACCGAAGGTCTCAAAGAGTTTTGTATCCATTGAAAACTAAATATTTACCCCAATCCTTAACAAATTCAAAAGCATGAGATACACATTTGTATAAATATGTTGGCAACAGGTTGGCGGCTTACGCTGTTGCCATGGTAACGCGGCCGTCGCATTTTCCGTTGTTGAAAGAAGAAAATACCCTTCCCATCTTGTACTCGGACTTCGGTAACCGTCTGATAAGCCGTAAATCTATTTACTTGGCAGTTAGAATATTATTTACGATTAAATCAATTTATATTTAGAATAACAGATGTGGCTCTATCTTTACATTGTATAAAAAAGTCGCTTTTTTGTGTTAGATTAGTGCTTAGATCTCTTAAACTAATCAACGGCTTTTAATGCACCAATAGAGAGAGTGATTCAAGAAGAAGGTTTATATGTACAATACATGCATATTACAGTAGAGAAAATCCGAGAATTTCAAAGATTTGTCATAAAAAACATGTTTTTGTCCGCTTACATTGCCAACGTTGGCGCTTACAAGATAGACCAAAATAATGTACCACAGAATTATATATTTTTTTAAATTTACAAAAGAATCGGCAATGGTATATGTCTATCTCCAAATATAACCCACAGTAACCATTTTTATCTTTTAAATATTTCAAAAAAATAATGGATTGTTTACGAAGCTACTTAAACAATGCAATATTATTCCAAATCAATTAAATATGTTAGATACGTTGTGCATTTAATGTATATTAAAGTTGCTCTTTACAGCATATCATTAAAATAAATATTTTAGAAGATATTAAATGTTCAAAATGCGGGGGCCCAACGACCGCCGTAGGTACGGCTCGGGTAGGAGCGGCCGGCATAATAGTCCTATCACAATAGTAGTATAATTAATTACTCTACTCTAACACCACATTAGTAGTATCTACATTGCACCCGTGCGAAGCGAAGAATCTTCTAATATATGTATATTTTTTTGATTAAAAAGACAACTCCCGCATTATCCTGTGTCGCGGGGGACGAAACTTACATGAAACGGACACAAAGAAAACCCAGACTCAGAACAACAATTTGTGGATCACACAAAGTGTTGTCCTATGTGGGGATTGGACCCATAACACCGTGGCGGCCGTTTAAACCACTACGCCATCCGTGCAGTGATATTCATTTTAATGTATGCTGTTAAGTGCAATTTTTATCTACATGAAATGCAGAACGTATCTAACGTCTTTAATTCGATAAGGAATAATAATGTATTTTTTTAAATAGCTTCGTAAATAACCCTTTTTTTGTAACATTAAAACTGTGATGTTAACTGCTAATTATATCCCAAGTCTAAAGTCAACCCCTGGTGCATAAGTCACAGCATGGTGAATTTAAGGTCAGTCTATCATTATTCAATGTATTTCGGCAATTTGTGTTTGTCCTTTTGATCGTTGAGGAATTCTCTTGTCTAGAGTTATTTCTCTGTGCAAAATCTGAATATGGTTGTCATAATTGTAATATAATAATAAATAATAATATTAATATATTAATATTATAATATAATATTTAGAACTGATAAAACTTTTAATTTAGATTGAAAGATTTGACCCAA